TTAGGGTTTGCCAAATTATTCTTCACTCTGAGAGGTCTTGAAGATTTTCACCTGTAAAATCATGTTCTGTTGAATGGCTTCACCTTCCTCGATGCATTAGCCGCCAAAATTATGTTGTAACTATGTTGTTTATGCGGTTAACCAGGATTTCATCTAAAGAAAATAAGAAGGCGCTTGTTTCTGGTTCTGCTGGTCTTGAAAATGAAATCTAACTAAAATCATGCTGACATTTAAATGGTAGTAGAAGGACAAATGGTTCTGATTACTACTGGAGCTTGCAAAAAATGAGAGAAATGTTCCAGCATGTTAGGGAAATGACTTCAGATGCCTTGCATCTCACACTACTTCATTCAACATCATTGTCTTAGACTCCCTATAGAAGAAGGTTGTGAAAACAGTTTTTCGCTCTCCGAATAGGCAGTAAAGACCTGGAGTTCTGTCTTGGGTTATATCTGCACTTCACTCAGAGGTGCAATGACAGCTTTTGCATCTGTGCTCATGCTATCTTTAAACTTGTTAACATGGGTACTGCCAGCAGGGTAGTGCTTGCTGTAGGGAACTGCCTTTAAACTTGCCTAGGTATTGCTGCCCCCTGTAAGCTGTGTTTTGGGGTAGCTTAGGTCAGGCTAAAAGGCCAAGGAGTTGGATTAATTTAATAGGAAGTAGTCCCGAGTTTAGACAGTGAAATCTTTGAATGCAGACCTCTTGTTTTAAAGTTCAAGTTGGGCCAGCAAGTTAATTCTGATGCAGGTCAGAGAGTTGAGAGCGCCATCCTAATTCTAATTGCCTTGAGGAGAAAATGTTTTCATTGAGTATAAAAGGGGGTGGGGAAAAAAAAAAAGGCAAGTAAAAGGCTCTCTGCTAAACACTGGTGAACAGTTGTCCATCACCATCTCATTCCTTGCAGCTTCCTTTTCTCATTTTTAATTCTTCTTTCTATATGGAAGAAGGGGTACGGTCTTGTTGCTGCCAGCAACTCGAGAGCTTTGTGCTGTGAATTAGTGGGAGTTGGGGGGTTCTAATAGCTGATGAAGAGTAGCATTTCTTGCACAGTTATTGAATGGTAATTGTAAATTGATTCTTCAAACCAAGCTGCACGAGCTAGTTGGTGCTGTAGGAAATATTGCTGTTACTGGCACATACCTATGACACTCCTGCCCGCTGAGATCTTTTTACCTAAAAATTTTCATAGAATGAGCTTGTAAACTCTTCTGCACTAGTTGGTGAAGTTAGTATGAATGATGAAGCCAAGTAGCATTCTGGATGCTGTTCAAACCATTAAATTCCAAGTGTTGCGTTGGGTTGTGGCCAGGAGCATGTCATCTCTCCTGTGATAAAATTCTTCCTAGGGTACGCTAGCCCAGATCCCTTTACAAGCATGAGTGCATGTTGACAATCTGCTTTGGGTCACTCTTGGGGCTGTTGAGTATCCTCTGGTGCCTTGTTGCAGAAGAGCAGGATAGTCCCGTCCCTCCAGTTTCTGCTCTCAGTTTGGAGAGACTCTAACTGATATTTACCATGCCAATGATTCTTGTTTAGCCAAACTCCCTGGGGATCTGTGAGATTTGAATAGCCTCGGCACACCAATTGATGTTCTAATTCCAAGCTTTCCGGCTGATCAAATGACTATTGTACTGAATTTTGATCAGAAATTCTGTAGCTGTTTTGTCAGATCTTGAATTAAAAGCCTGTGCGCATCAAACTGAGGTCATCCCACAATAAATGAATCTTCCGGAAGGAGATGAGCTTCTCTTATCTCTCAAAATCTGGTCCTGTATGCTGATCAGGTGCTTGGGGTCTTTGTTGTTCTCTGCAGAAAACCTGAGGCTGAAAATCTGCCTTCTGGTTAGATCCCCTTGCCCATGGAACCAGACTACACAGTTCTTGCAGCCAAATCTGAAAAGTGTAATATTTGTGGACTTAAGTCTATCATGGAGAGGTTAGCTTCCTTCGAAATCCTGATGTTAGTCCCCACGATGGCTTTGAGACTCGCATTTCAGAGTGGAGCGTGAAGGAGCTCTATTCAAGCCCAGAGACAACTCTGTTTCCTCCTGCAAGGAAAGACATGGTAGACCATTGGGGCATGTATCTTTGAGCCTCCACGCTGCTCTAAGGTTTGGACAACAGGAAAGCTTGTTTTTCAGGCTACAGAGGTGATATATAGAATCCAAAATTTGGGAAGAGATGGGAATTGGGAAGAGATGGCAAGCTGACGGCTGACAAATAATCTGCTCTTCAAACTAATTTTCGGCGCAGACGTTTTAATTATTGTGCTTAGTGTAGCTTTACTTAATAGGGAGCTTTTAGATATTTTTTGTTCATTCTGGCCTGGACAGCAGTTTTCATCCAAAAGCATTGGGGTCCCTGTTTAGAGAAAATAAGATGTCAGTCACAATTTTCTAAAACAAAGGTGCTATAATATGACTTTAAGTAATTTTTAATAACAATTAGTCTCTTTGGTTAGCAGAATGTACCAATTACTGTTGAAAGTTAGTTGTCTTAAGTAAATGATGATAATGCTGGACAGCTTACTTGAGTCAGTTTCTTACTTGTTTTGTAACATTGCTTTTATCATTTTAAGTCTTTTTATTTCAATGTTAGCGCTACACACTGAAATGTGCAAGCAGAATGCACTGGTTAATTGCATTTTTTTAATGATGCCGGGGTGTTTTTAATGATGCTTAAGAATTTAAAGGTCTTTTTCTACCTTAGAAAAAGCATGTGAGAGTGAACTTGCATGGCCAGCTCACCTCCCAGTTCTGATATGAACCAGCTCAGCAGTGTTAAAATGATAAACTTGATCTTTTTTCTGTGCATGTATGTTTGTCTACAGAGTCAGCTAAAGGAGGCTAAACCGTAACAGCTGGCAGGCAGCTTAAGAAGCTGCCACCTTTCAGCTGCTAGCTCCTCCTCTCTGCCAAGGAAAAACTTGAGGTTTCGGTACTAGGAGCATCTACAAGAGTCGCGTGCTGGTCAGGCTTCCTAGTGTGCGTTTGACGTGAGTGAGCGGGACCCGTTACTGCACGAAAGGAGTTCTTCTGTCTTCCTTCTGTGCTGCTTTACCTGTACTTGGTTTCAGGATGGGTGCATAGGGTTTGTGCGCGGGTTGGCGAGATGGAGGATAATGGTATGGTTGAGACATTAGGAAGTACGTGAGATATCTGTGTACAGCATCCTGTGTCTCTTCCCCAGAGACTGGAAGTAAGTGTATTTCTCCTTATGCCTAAGGGAAAGGAGCAGCATGCATGATCTGAAAAGGCAAAAAATGTCTAACATCTGTGGTTACAGAAGTAACTCCAGTTTACAAAAATCTCCTACCTGTTCTTTTATAAAACGTATGTCAGAGCACAGAGAGAAACTGTTTGGTGACAGTTTGTGTTTATATCTGTGTTTCAGAGGGTGGAAACTCTCAAAAGGCAGCACAGGTGCTTTTAAGACATGTCCCCTATAAACAGAGGCAGTTCTAGTAGGGCTGTAGCAGTCAAGGATGCAATGTGTTCAGCACTTCCCAGTCAGTACAGAACTGTAAGATAAACTCCACGTTATCAAGTCGGAAATAGCTGCTGCAGATATCTTTGAGCGTCAGCGTGCAGTCCCTGGGGTTACGTACTTTGTTCTGCATGTGGCAGGTGTATGCTGCCCTTGTCTGCTTGGATTTTAGTCACTCTATCCAAATGTGCACTTTCCTTGAAAGAGGCAAAAGGGGCAACTTTACAATTGAATGAGAAGACCTGCTCCCTCAGGGAGCCAGGGTGTCCTCAGTAACCAGCTCTTCCTACTGTTAATGGCAGGTGGGACCTCAGTCATCCTAAGCTGAGGGACTTGGTGGTGAATAGCCAGAGGATCACCTGCCAGCGGCTGCTTAGCACTGGTGATCTTCTTTTCCTTTTGTCCAGCCTGGACTGAGCTTATTCGTGGATGTTTGCTGTGCTTCAGATGCGCCTGGAGCTCTAATCTGCATCAGTTGATGAGGTGGAGGCAACAAAACAGATGTGGTATTTGATAACAACAATAAGGTAATGCAGAGAGGCCACATGTTGCTGCTGTAATTAGCAGAGAAACTGCTGGGTGTAGAAAAAGATGACTAAGTCCAGGGATGCCTTCCCTCCCTCCATGGTCATTTTGGCACCCGTTGGGTAGGTTTTATGAAGCTGGCGGTGGCTCCGTATGTTCAGATTGCCTCTCACTTTCCACTTCCAGGTTTATGTCCTGCCTTTAGACATTCTGAACTGTTGTGCTAGGAAAAGGGTTGGAAAATTGACAGGCTAAAAGTGCCCTGGGCTAGAGAAATGCCTCTGGCACACAGAGTGATTTTTCTGTGCAAGGTTAGTAAAGTTAAGGTTAGAAATACTTCTGCAGTAGCATAAGCAAGATGAGATCTGCCATTCTCCAAAGGAGGTTTTGATTTGTTAGTGAGCAAGCATTCCGGGAATGGCTGGAAATAGCTGAGAAAGGCTCCCTTTGCTGACGTGTGGTTCCCGTTATCTCTTTCAGATAGTGTTGCTGTGAGTAAGTGCAGCACCTCCAGAGAGTTGGGGCCACCCCAGAATCCACTGAATAGGCACTCACAATTCAGTATTGTTCTGCTGAGTAACACAGCTGGTCTGATGCCTTAGTGGTGCCCAGCTTTTCTGCCAGACAAGTCACTTCTTCACGCGGAGCCTTCCCTAACAACGTCTCCGCTCTGTGATCACACGATGAGCTGACTTAGATGCAGAACAAACAAGCTGTTCGTAGTACTGTTTCCATGGCACAGATCTGCTTCTGCAAAGGCCTGGTTTTCAGGCAGCGTGTTTGCGTTACGGGTACGCAGTGATGGGGGAAATCCAGAGGGATCCCAGGGGAAGAAGGCAGTAAAGAGGAGCTCAGCGTGGCAGCAGAAGAGGTGTTCCAGCCTGCTGTTGTGTTGCCAGCAAAAGTGGCTGCGTGGGACTCGAGAGCAGTCGGCCAAGCAACTGAGATGGTAGCCAGTCTCAAGCGTGGCAGGAGGGAGTTTATGTATGCAGTGCATCATTGCAAGTGAGGCGAGTTCTCAGAGATGCCTAAGAGGTCATAGTTTTCCTATTAGTGTAAGTACCAAGTACCTTTATGCATGCTTTTGCAAACAGAGTTATTTAATAGTCGCCTGGGTGATGTTCAGCATCTCCTCAGGTGTTTCTGACCTGCGAGTAGAGAGCAAGATTATTGACTACTCTCTATTCATGCAAGTTTGGCACTGAACTTGGTGACAGGACATGGGATGGACAGCTGTGGTTCTTGAGGTAAAAGCTTCTTGGTATCAAGAAACTGAAGAGCACTTGACTTTGACTCCAGCTCAGTTAGTTGAGACGTACAGACTTGAGTTCTGTTGAATGTGTAGGTGGAGAGATCTATGAAGGGACTAATATGTTTACAGAAAAAAACACCTGTGCTTGAAGACATGCCTGTGAGACTAATGGAACATATTGGCATAGTGTTTTGTATTGTGTGCACTTCAAAAAAAAAAAAAAAGTCTGAAAGCACAGGATTTGTGGGTGAACCCCAGGAGTGATAGAAGTCTTATATCCAATGGAAGTCTTGAAGCTCATACCCCTTAATCCTAGGGGAGGCTGAGAGATAACTTGCTTAATTATAGCTCTTTGAAGAGCTCTCTGTACTTCAGTAAAGGCCTGGGGCTGGAGAGGGGAAGTATTTAATTGAGGATAGAGTCTAACTGAATGAATTGCTGAGCTTTGGGAAAGCCGATTTCCAGAAGAAACAACAGTCTCCTTATTGTTTGAAGTATTTTGTGACTTTTTCTGTCTTACGGCACAGTTTGCCTTCTAGTAGTACTCAAGCCCTTTCCAGCCTCAGCATTTCCAGCACAGCTGATCTTGAGTCTGCCAAGAATTTTTAGTGCATGTATCAGAGATTAAATTTGTTTGCTGTTGCTTGTAGTACTAATAAAATCCTAATGACCTGGCCTCACGGTAACAAACGTACTTATCTCTTTCCACAGCAATTTGTAGAATGCACTATGTCTTTGCTTATCCAGCAACCTGTTTTTCCAGTAGTCAGCTTGAGCTACTAGAGCGAAATCAGAGTTGCAATGCGAACACAATGGAATAACTTTGGCATCTGCTTATGGAGGAGCCTCTCACCTCTTAGTCCTAAATGTCTTTTTCTTGCTAGGCTAAGGAAATTCTCACAAAAGAATCAAATGTGCAAGAGGTACGTTGCCCTGTCACTGTCTGCGGGGATGTCCACGGTCAATTCCACGATCTTATGGAACTCTTTAGAATTGGTGGGAAATCGCCGGACACAAATTATCTGTTCATGGGAGACTACGTGGATAGAGGCTATTACTCGGTGGAAACAGTGACTCTTCTAGTAGCATTAAAGGTATGGTCTGGCAACTTTTTTAAACGGTCTTAAATAAGACCGCCTAGCGGGGAGGAATTGACGCTGCTGTTGGCTTGAGCTAGACACATAAAAATTGAATGTTAATGGACACGTGCTTTTATATAGGAGCTGAATGCTTGCCTGCCACTTGAATTTTTCCATTAGTGTTTCCCTCCATGTTAACTGTAAAATGCTTATGTTTAAAAAAATAATAAAACTAAAAAGTGTTTTCTTCATCAATAGGTGCGTTACCCAGAACGCATTACAATACTGAGGGGAAATCACGAAAGCAGACAAATTACACAAGTGTATGGCTTTTATGATGAGTGTCTGCGGAAGTATGGAAACGCCAATGTCTGGAAGTATTTCACGGATCTGTTTGACTATCTTCCTCTTACGGCTCTAGTAGATGGTCAGGTAAGCTTTTCGGCCTTCCGTTAGGAGAAACCCGTTCATGAACGGTCTCAAGCAGGCTCCCTTAGCATGTAGGCGAAACTCTTTGAAGCTCATTTTCTTATTGGGGATCGTGGGAAGAATTTAGTGAAGTATTAGTTCAAGGTGATGGAGCGGCAAGGCCTTTGCCTCTGCTTGCTAAGGAATGATGGGGTTTTACACGTTGGGTTTATTTTAAATGACTGCCCAACAAGTGGGAGGCCCTATGTGATCTGTTACAGGTGAGTTGTTGCTGTGAGGCAAGATAGTCTTAAAGCTGGAGGAATACTATCCTTGCTGCTCCTCTGATCTTTATATGGGATATGTAGCTTTTTAGTTCTGTTCCCTTTCACTGGAATTAAATTTGGTTCCTCTGCTGTGAGAGTAAGAAGATTGTGATTGTAAAAGAATGATAAGAATTTCACATAGCTATTTCTGAGCTGAGTCTTCCAGTAACAAAATTAACTGAGTGGATTGATCTTTTTTCCCTGAACAGATATTCTGTCTCCATGGTGGCCTCTCTCCATCGATAGATACACTGGATCATATCAGGGCTCTGGACCGCCTGCAGGAAGTTCCACATGAGGTAACAAGAAAGGAAATGTATTTTAATTTTAGATATCTGTTAGTTGACAGTGCAAATGCAGCCTCACTTTGAAATCCATTTACACAGTGAGATACACTGTTACGCAGCAGATTATTGCCTTTGTTAGAGCTAGAGCAGATTAACATTCATTTGGGCAAAACGGATCCCAGTGAATATGCTCCAATTACAGCAATCTGCAGAAAGAGAGCTGTGGGATTTTCACAGCTGTTTTTGACTGTTGTGCTGCCTTGAATTGTATTTGGCAGGGGAGAGTGCTTACTACCTTCATCCTGGTCACAGACTTGCTTGCGAACAAGCTGCAGTCGTGTGAAACCGTGTCATGTCGCCATCCCTCCTCCCCCACTACTCCTTTCTTGTTCTGTGTGGATCACTAGCCCTCCCTTCTGGGGGCCTGTCAAAGCTGGGGGGACCCTGTGGGATGTGCTGGTGTGGAGCAGCTGGGGGATGCTGACCTAAGACCTGGACTGGAGAAGCCCCCTTCCGAGGGCCCAGGGTAGCAGATGGCTCGGCCTTGTTGGAGTGGTGGGGGCTTACTAAGAGACATGAACGTCTGCTAAAGAGCTGCTTGTCCTGGAACACTGCACTTCTTGGGTGCAACACCAAGGACCGTGCAGCAAGGTCTGCTCAAACCTTCCAACAGCCTGAAATAAGTTGTGTGGATTTCCTCAGCTCTAGGAAGCTACCTAGTGGGGCTCTTAAGTGTATTTAATGTTAGTGAATACTTTGTTGCTCGGTGGATTCCACAGTCCCCTGCTGCATATCTGTGTGCTGAAATCTGGTTTTCCTGAGGACTTCCACGTGTGGTCAGTGCAGTACCTGCCATTTAGCTTGAAACAGCAGGCAGGAAACAAGAACAGGCTTGCGTTGGTAGGGTGTTTTTACTGGCACTTAGTTCCTAAATAATTCAGAAAAAAAAGCCACCAAGCTTCACTTGTGACTGTTAGAAGATTGATACCAGAATGCTTCCAATGTGTCAAGTCTAGCAGTACTGTTTAGGAGAGGAAATCGAACAAATAGTAAGTCCCCTGGCAGAAGGGCTGCTGAAGACTAAACATCCGTCTCATGAGCAGTTTGTAGCCTTCTGCAGGTCCTTGCTCTTTCTTTAATTTATTGCAACTTGGCAGGTGTAATTAGCCCCTTGCCTGTCTTTGGACTTGTGTGCCTTCTCACGTAGGCCTCATTACAGGAGTGAGAATGTGGATTTGTTGTCAGTATCTTCATGTTGCTTGCACTAGCTGAAGTGTGCATGGAGAAGGAGGTGGGAACGGTTTTCTGGTTACATGGACTTCTTTATCAGCTGTATACATACTCCCTTGTGAAAGGGTGTTGACTGATGCACTAGCTGATGATAGGATATATAACACTTGTGGGTTATGTGCATAGAAAAAAATGCTGGCGAGTCTTTTTGCTGCAAATAAAATATGTTTTAAAAGGGGACTTTTATGACTGTCTAGCAATCTAATGAAGAATGCTGATTTTTCTCCTAGGGGCCCATGTGTGATCTGTTATGGTCAGATCCGGATGACCGTGGTGGCTGGGGTATATCTCCTCGAGGTGCTGGCTACACGTTTGGGCAAGATATTTCTGAAACATTTAACCATGCCAATGGTCTTACACTGGTCTCCCGTGCTCACCAACTTGTCATGGAGGTATGGCAGGTGCTTTCTGTGCTGCGCTTCCACTGCTGATCTTCCACTGATGAGTTTGTTGACGCTAACACCTAAATGCTGAGCAGGCACATATCTAAGAGGGGTTTTTTATCATGTGAAAACAACAAGCAAAGTGGAATGCTGTGCTGTGACCTGCTACCTAGTAAAAGGGATGTTCTGCCCTTTCTTCCACCCTTCTAGTAAATCGCCGAAGAGATCCTGTCATATACCACGTGTGGAAGTAATAATCTACTTAAATGCTGACTGTTCCTCCACTGCTGTATTAAATAGGCTGTCCTATAAGAGAGAGCAGTCAGATGTGACAGGGATTAAGCTATAATTTTGAATGTTGATAGGCTATTCTTGTATGCCTTACTGGAAAAATGCCAGATGGGTCAATGGAGCAGACTTATTTTTAAATCTGGTTCAAGTAGATCTTTATAGTAGTAGTGTGTGTCAGAAGCCTCTCGCATGCGAGCTGGTGAATTGTAATACTTGGTGAATGAAATCTGGAGGTTTATCTAAGCCCCTCTGGTTCTTTCTCTGGTATAATCCATAACTTGTGTACAAAAGGATGAACACACAAGTGACGGATGGCTTACATGCTCTGTGTAGCAAAAAGCTTAAACTATTCTATCTAACTACAGCTTGCTCTTGCTGTAGAGCGTTCTGTAAAAGGAAGATTAAGTCAGTTGGAAATACTTAAAAAGGTACTGTTTCACAAATGCCTTTTTATCTTTTTAGGCCTTGAGAGGGAATTCAGGTTGGACTGAGAGCAGAGATTTAACAGAAACCTTTTTTCCTTTTTTTTCCGTCAGGGTTATAATTGGTGCCACGATCGGAACGTGGTTACCATTTTCAGCGCGCCCAATTACTGCTACCGTTGTGGGAACCAGGCTGCTATCATGGAACTAGATGACACTTTAAAATATTCCTTGTAAGTAACCTGGTTCAAGCCGTTCTCTCTCTCCCTGTTTAATTAGAGCTCTGCATTGGTGAGAGAGTTTGATCCTTTTCAAAGGGAGTCTTTTGTGAAAAGCCAGCTGCTTAAGCCAGTCTGGGCTTAGCGTTGTGTACTCTACCTGTAAGATGATCTAAAGCAGCAATTTGAGCACTTAAAAGCTCTTTACTACTGCATGCCTCATCTTCCTTGCTCCCTGAACAGTTAGAGCTTCTGTGTTCTTTTAATCACTCCTTTGCCCAAACTTGTTGGAGAAGTGAAGATCATTTTTTCTTTTGTTTTGTGGATTTTTTTTTTTTGTAGCACTGGGCTTTGTAAAGGGTTGTGAGGGTGCGTTTTGCATTCAGCTGACGTCCCATAAAAGCACAGACGGGCTGTGGAAACGTTCACTGCGTAAGCAGAATTTCTGTCAGGTGATGAGTTGGCCTCCCACCAGTTGTCATTTTTGGGACCTCATGTGTCCCCTGGATTTAGATGTGGGGTTGTGGGAGGTCTGAACCATTTTGTGTGGGAGCAGCTGGGGGTAAGGAAGCGATAGCAGCAGGAGAGCGTCTTGTGTGTACTGTGGTGTTTAAAAATACCTTGCGTGGAGGGGGAGAAATGATCTCTTTCTCTTTTTCACAGCCTTCAGTTTGACCCAGCACCTCGTCGTGGAGAGCCTCATGTTACCCGTCGTACCCCAGACTACTTCCTATAAATGTCTCCTAACCTCTGTAGAAGGAAGTACACCTGGCATTTTAAAGAGCAACAATATTTACACGTTTCTGTAAGAAATCGGGGTTCGTCTCAGCTTAAAATCCCCATCATGGACCAAAATGTGCCATACTGAGGATGAAGAGTGTTTAGCACAACTTGAGACTGAATTCCTTACAACACTATATATCCTATACCAATCAGTCCAACAGTCAGTTTGCCTGCTGTATTTGTAGTCATTGTTTTTTGGGGGTTTTTTGTTTTTCTTTTCCTTCTGGACTGTTTGGAGAGAAAAGATAACTCTAACACTTCCATCTCCTTTTATGCTTCTTTGTGAATTTTTAGTTCTAGTGGTTAACTGGCATGAAGTAGCGTTCGGAGTTTATTTTTTAAGGGACACTAACTTCTTAACCTGCCACTCTCCTTTATGGAAAGGCGACCGACTTAACTGGAGCAAGGGAACAACTCCGGGGGGGTTGGGGGGGGTGGGAGAGGGCGGCATTCCCTTTCCGAGCTCCGTTCCCAATCTGTGCTGACCTTCCTTTTTTTTGTTGTTGTTGTTGTTGTTGTTGTTTCTGTTTGGTTTGGTTCCCCCCCACCCCGCTCCCAAAACCGTATCTTGGTCATGGAAGTGCTTTTGCCTCGGTGTATCGGAACGAATAAACTCGGCCCTTGTCGGCCCCCCCGCGCCCGGCGCAGTGCTGCGATGCGGTGGGGCGGGAGCAGGGGCGGCGCGAGGCAGAGGCGCGGCGGGAGGCGGAGGCGCTGCAGCCGCGGCC